CAGAGAAAAATGTAGAGCTCAATAAATATCAATAAAATAAAAAGAAAGAGAGAGGAAAAGTGGTTTCTGTATGGGCTTGGTGGTACAATTCTAGCATATGATTGAGGCAGGAGGATTGTAATTTTTAGGCCAGCCTAAGCGACATAGTGAGATGTGTGTGTGTTTGTGACCTTGTTGGAGGAGGTGTGTTATAGCAAGTGAGCTTAGAGATTAAAAAGATTGAAATCATTCCCAGTGTTCCCTCTCTACCTGATGGAGGTGGGTCTTGTATCTTATCTGTTGATTTCATTAGTTAATAATAAAGAAACTGCCTCAGCCCTCATAGGACAGAAAATTAGGTAGGTGGAGTAGACAGAAGAGAATTCTGGGAAAAAGAAGCTTAGTGAGAGAGTCGCCATGATTCTCCCGCTCCAGACAGACGCAGGTTAAGATCCTCCCTGGTAAGCCAGCTCGTGGGCTACACAGAATATTAGAAATGGGTTAGAACAATATGTAAGAGCTAGCCAATAAGAAGCTGGAACTAGCCGGGCCAGGCAGTGTTTGAAAGAATACAGTTTCCGTGTAATTATTTCGGGGCATAAGCTAGCCATGCGGGCGGCCGGGTGCTGGGGACGCAGCCTTGCCGCTCCTATTGCAACATCTACCTCTTTTTTTTTTAATAAATGAAATTCAACTTCTTTATTTTTTAGATTTATTTATTTATTATGTATACAATGTTCCTCCTGCCTGTACACCTGTACACCAGAAGAGGGCACCAGATCTCATTATAGATGGTTGTGAGTCACCATGTGGTTGCTGAGAATTGAACTCAGGACCTCTGGAAGAACAGCCAGTGCTCTTAACCTCTGAGTTATCTTCCCAGTCCCCCCTCTACTTCTCGCCTGAGGATCAAGATGTGACTTCTCAGCTACTACTCCACCTCCACCCCTCACCAGCATCAACATGCCTTCGCTCTACATCATAGACTCTAAAGCTCTGAAATTCTAAGCCAAATTATAAACTCTTTCTTATATAGTCTGCCTTGGTTATGGTGTTTTGTCAGAGCAATAGAAAAATAATTGAAAATTGATATATATCAGGAAGTATACAACTACTGTGACAAACCTGACCATGTTGATTTATAGAGGAATGTGGAAGACTTTGGGAGTTTGGTGTAGGAAAGTGTACATTGTAAGCAGAACTCAACAGAATTTCCCAGTAGGATCTTGCAAAACAGCGATGCTGAGAGCGCTACAGACTGTGGAGACACAACTCGAGCTTTCACAAAGGAACAATATTGGCAATCGGGCTAGTGACTATTCCCTCCACCCCCACCCGAGACAGGGTTTCTCTATGGAACTTTGGCTGTCCCAGAACGCTGTAGACCAGGCTGGCCTCAAACTCACAGAGATCCGCCTGCCTCTGCCTCTTGAGTGCTGGGATTAAAGGCATGCGCCACCACCACCCAGCTCGAGAGACTGTTCATGTGATATATTGGCAAAGAATGTGACTGCTTTCTGCCCTTGTCCTAAAATTTTCCTGAGACTAAATTAAAACTAATTTTGTTGGTAGAGGAGGTTTCAAGATATAACATTGACCTTGTTACTTAGTTATTAAATCTTCAGAACTACATGAAAAAAAATTTTTTTTCTGTGTAGCCCTGGATGACTTGGAACTAACTCTGTAAACCAGGCTGGCCTCAAATTCAGAGATCCGCCTGTCTCTGCCTCCAGAATTCTTTCTAAAATATCTACACTGGAATCAAATAGTAAAATGCGTTCCATGCAACGGTAATCTACAGATTGAGGAAATTGCTTACATATTGTAGGTGGAGACTGCACTTTTATTTCCTGGCTGCTCAGACACGAATAATCACACAGACACTATATTAATTACAACGCTGTTTGGCTGATGGCTCAGGTGTATTTCTAGCTAGCTCTTAGATCTTAAATTAACCCATTTCTATTAGTCTGTGTGTTGCCACATGACCATGGTGCTACCTCATTTTCTTCATGTCTTGTTTCCTTGGCTGCTGTCTGGTGTCTGCTTGACTTCACCTGCTCTCTCTCTCTACATCTCTGTTAGGTTTCTCACCTGGCTTTACTCTGCCAAGCCATCGACTGAAAAATCTTTATTCATCAACCAATAAAAGTAACTCATATACAGAAGGACATCCCACATCAATGTATCATTTCCAATGGCTGACTTACAAAATATTGGCATTGGGTGGGGCTATTTAACATTCCCTGTGGGAGAATCTTCCATTGATATCTTTTAGCAGGGTGAGAATTATTATAAGTAGGCATTGTGAAGGCAATTTTTTTCTGTCTTTTTCTAGTAAAGGCTAGTGAAGAAAAGTCTTTTAAATCAATAACTATAAGAGGTTATCCTTTAGGCAATAGAGAAAGCAAAAGAATGCCAGACTGTAGAGAATCCATTGGCTGGAACACCTAGTTAACAGCTCTTAGATCTGCTACCATTCTTCAGTTTCCAGGTTTCTTCTTAACAACAAGTACAGAATTCCAAGGGCTGGTTGATTCTTCAATATGCTGAGCATCTAGTTGCTCCTGAACCAGCTGTTCTAAAGCCTGCAGCTTCTCCATTGTTAAAGGCCATTGCTCCACCCATACAGGTTTGTCTGTGAACCATTTGAAAGGTAGGGCTGTTGGTGCCCTGTTCTTATACAACCTGAATGGTCAGTGATTATTCTTTATAAAACTGTCTAATATTTTTCTCAGAAATATACATTAATCTATGTTTATTTCTAAGATTGGGGGAATATTAATCTGAGTATTCCATTGCTGTAACAAATCACATTCCTACAAATTCATTGCTATGTTAGCCACATATGGTTTTAATATTCCTGTCTGTCCATCTGGCTCTATACATGAAACCCATTTTATGCTCTGATTTACCTGAGATAAAGTTTCAATCCCCAAAAACTCAACATTTACATCCTGAAAAGACCAAATTGGATGCCAAGATTCTGATGAAATTATGGTTACATCCATACCTGTGTCTACCATACCTTCAATGACATTTACTTGTATTTTCATCTCTTTTTTCTCCTCTTCTTTCCCCTTCCCCTCCCTCCCTTCCTCTCTTTTTCCTTCCTTCCTTCCTTCCTTCCTTCCTTCCTTCCTTCCTTCCTTTCTTCTTTCTTTTTCTCTGTGTACCCTTGGCTGTTCTGGAATTTGCTCTATAGACCAGGATGGCCTTGAACTCGCCTCCCTCTACCTCCTAAATACTGGGATTAAAAGTGTGTACCACTACCTCCTGGCTGTATTTTCTTAATTAATCATTCATAGAGGAAAGCTGAGGGCATTGTGGGTGGGACTACCCCTGGTCTGGTGGTACTGGGTCCTATAATAAAGTAAGCCGAACAAGCCAGTAAGCGGCACCCCTCCCATGGCCTCTGCATCAGCTCACTGTCCTGTTTCTGCCTTGGCTCCCCTCCATGGATTGTGATTCTGGATATGGAAACTAAACAAACCCTCCAGTCCCCATTTGCTTTGGTCATAGTAACCCTAACAAAGCCAGAGGAGACCTGGCAGCTGTAGTTGCCAACTGATGTGGGTTCTGGAAACTGAACGTGGTCCTCTGAAGATCAGCAAGTGCGCTCAACCTCTGAGCTCTCTTTCTCTGGCTAACCAAGGTGGGCTGGTTGCCCTTCTAGGTCTGAGGCACAGGGACAATTATACTGGTCACTGTGTAGGTAACTGGATGGTGTACAAGAACCATCTGGTGCTGGTTAGACTAGAAGTGCCTTCTGGGCTCGCCAAGGATTAGAGCAGGATCAAGTCAGTAGGAGCAAAAGGCAGTGCAGGGCAGGGACTGTGCCCGTTCAACACTTCGGCTTTTGCTGTCACTCAGGAGTACGCTGGGCCAATCAGGATCTCCAAACTCACACCGTTCAATCAAAAGCGTCGTGGGGCAGCGAGAGGCGGGTTCTGTATGGTCGCCATGCTGTGGACTGAACTCCGCGGCTGAGGGAGGCCCCGTGTGTACGCGTGCTGCGCTGTGCGTGCTGCTCCTGGGAGCTGTGAGGAAAGCGCAGGCGAACTCGGACCCTGTGACATGGTGAGCGCGGGGCTGCTGTCCCAGACGGGAAGGAGAGGCAGCTATGGTGGCTCCTTCCCTCCGCAGAGCTCGGCCCGCTGCCGTCCTCCAGCCGTAGCTGCCGCCGCCGTGCACCTCCGCCCCTCGGCTGCGTCTGCGCAGAGCACCGGGCGCCGCAGGGGCGGTCCGCCTTTTGTGCCATGACGTCACTCACAAGCCTTGGATTTGGTGCTGTGTGGTCCCTCGGTGCCCTGAGCTATCTTCACATTTAGGTGGAGAGTCCACGTTGAGTTAATTTTGTGGAAGTTGTAAACTGTCATCTAATCTTTTGCTTATGGATGCCCAGGTTGTCGGATAATATTTAAGAAGACCATAATCTCCTCATTGAGTGTCATTTGCTCTTTTTTTTTTTTAAAGGATGAATTATGGATACAGTGTTCTGGCTGCATGAACCCCTGCAGGCCGGAAGAGGGCACCAAATCCTGTTACAGATGGTTTGGTTTGTGAGCCTCCATGTGGGTGCTGGGTATTGAACTCAGGACCTCTGTAAAAACAGTCTGTGCTCTTAACCTCGGAGCCATCTCTCCAGCCCTCATTTGCTTTTTTAAAAAAATTAACTGTAGCCGGGCAGCGGTGGCTCACGTCTTTAATCTGAGCACTCAGGGAGGCAGAGGCAGGCTGATCTCTGTGAGTTCGAGGCCAGCCTGGTCTACAAAGTGAGCTCCAGGATAGCCGGAGATACACAGAAACCCTGTCTTGAAAAACAAAAACAAACAAACAAACAAACCCCAAAAATTGACTGTATGGTGTATTTGCTTTCGTTTTTTTGTCTATAATTAAAACCTTTATTGAAAAACGGACACCAAAATAGGAGATCACTGTTGTATACTTTATAAAATCAAACACAGTTACATTGTCTTGGTAGAGTCACTAAACTTGATAAGGCTTTCTGTGAAAAACGCAAACTCGGGAACTTGTATAGATGTTTAGTGTTGCTTTCTTCTAAATGAACAGCCTTCTGTGAGCCTGGCTTTTCCTCCTGTGGGCTGGCACAGCGCTGTTAAACAACCTACACAAAGAACCACTGTCTGAGCGTGGCTGAAAACTGTAGTGATCTTGTAGCAGTCTGGATATTTCACATCCAGGAAGTAAGAATTTGGGCTCTGAACCAGCCGTTTCTTCTTATGTTTTTTCTTTTCGTCTTCCAAGGAAGGGTGTAAAAGGTCTCTAGCCAGAGGCATGGTGACGGCTCGGCCAGCACTGATGCTCCAGATCTCTGAGATGAGGTGCTTGCTGGCGAGTGCTCAGCTACAACTTCTGGGGATCTCGGTTTTTTTTTTTTTTGTATTATTTTGTAGATAGATTTATTTTCAAATATTCGTACACTATCATGATTATTAAATTTTTTGTAAAGATAGTATTGTTTATGTACTGTTTCTTCAAAATTGTGTTGAACAATTTTTCTCTTTACATATAACCTTTAGAATAGCATTCGCACAAAATGTTCTGCTGTTACACAGATACTAGGATTCTTGTTGGGATTGCGTTAAATTTATAGTTTAATTGAGGGAATCGATATTTCTTTTTAATCTTTTGTGTGTTTTGTTTTGCCTGCATGTATGTTTGTGAACCACATACATACAGTACTGTTGGAGGCTAGAAGAGGGCATTAGGGCACCCTTGACTGGTATTACAGATGATTGTGAGCCCTCATGTGGGTACTGGGAATTGAACTCAGGTCCTATGGAAGAGAAACAAGTGATCTTAACCCCTGAGCTGACTGCAGCTTCCAGAAAGCAACATCTTGATGTTGTCTTCTATTTACCAAGACCATTGCATGATTTATGGACTTACTTGAATTATCTATCTATCATCTATCTATCTATCTATCTATCTATCTATCTATCTATCTATCTATCTATCTATCTATCTATCATCTATCTATCTATCTTAGACTAGATCTCTCTATGTAGTCCTGACTGTTCTGGAACTCACTCTGTAGACCAGGTTGGCACTGAATTACCAGATCTTCCTGCTTCTGCCCCCCGAGTGCTGGTGTTAAAGACCTATGCCACCATGCCTGGCTTAACTCTTTGTTAAATTTATTATATGTTTTTCTTTGTGTCTCCTGTGCTCTGTGGTTCTGTATATGCACTGTGAAATTGTTAACATTCGATTGTTCATTGCTGTTATACTGGAAAATGATGGACTTCATGTATTAAGCTTGTATTTAAAAAGTTTGCTGTATTAGTTCCTTGAGTTTTTGTTGGTATAGAAATTTTATGTTTGGAGAGACCTGTATCTTATTTATTATATTTTTTAAATTTTTATTTTTGAGATTATAATACAATTCCAACATTCCTTTCCTTTCCTTCCTCCAAACCTTCTTCAATACACCCCTTTCTGCTCTGCTCAGATTCATGGCCTCTTGTTTCATTAATTGCTATTGCATGCATATAACATATATATTCCCAAATATGCACTGTTACTTGTGTGTGTGTTTCCAGGGCTGACCATTTGGCACTGGAAAACCAATTGGTGTGCTCTTCACAGGGGAAGACCACCTTTTCCATGCCCAGATTTCCTTGGTTATCTGTAGTTCTTTGAGTTAGAGGTTTCATGGGCTTTTTCTGATCCACTTTGGCATGCCCATTGGTGGTGTCTTTGTTCATCTCATGTTTCGGTGTTCATGTTGGTGAGACTAAAGTCTCATAAATGAGCATAGCTTCTGATATTATTAGGAGACAGCCTCATAACAAACTCCCTCTGTGTGTTACAATCTTTCCACCCAAGACTTTTATTTTTTCATTCATTCATTCTTCTGTTTTTCAAGATAGCGTTTCTCTGTGTTGCCCTGACTGTCCCGGAATTCGCTCTGTAGACCAAGCTTGTCTACAGATCTGCCGGTTGCTGCCTCCTGAGTGATGGGATTAAAGGTCTGTGCCACCACTATCTGGCTGCTCTTACATTTGTGTGTGTGTGTGTGTGTTTTCAAGACAGGGTTTCTCTGTGGCTTTGAAGTCTGTTCTGGAATTAGCTCTTGTAGACCAGCTGACCTGGAACTCACAGAGATTTGTCTGCCTCTGCCTCCTCGAGTGCTGGGATTAAAGGTGTGCGCCACCACCACCCGGCTTTAACTCTTACATTTAAATAACCCACCTTTCTTATCTACACTCTGTTAAATGGGGCTTGGTATCTTTTCTCAGTATGGGATGCTCATCTTGCTTCTACTCCTCTGACTCTGCTCTTCATCCCAGCATCCTTAGTTTGTCCTGCCTATACTTCCAGCCTGGCTACTGGCCAGTAAGTTCTTCATTAATCAATGAGAATAATACATCTTCACAGTATACAGAAGGATTATTTCACAGCACCTGTCCTGTTCTTAGGCCAACTGTATCATCTTCATCTGGCCTTCATGCTTTTCCTATCCTTATGAGCTTGGTATGGCTGGTCTAACTGATTGGTGTAGCTCAGGGCCAATGGAGAATGGCTGCCCTCTAGACCTGCCTGGCTGGCTCATCTGGGACTGTGCCTCTTGAGGGCTTTGATAGACACTTGGCTTGAGCTGCAGCTGGGTCTGTTTCCACGGTCTCTCCCTCAGTCATGTGTGGTTCCGTGAACCTCTGGCTATGTGAGAAGTTTCCACTTTCACGCTAAGAAACATATACATATACAGCTTGCTGTGGGGCCTTTAGTTTACATCTAGGGGACCAACTTAGTTTTCTTCATTTGCTTTATCTTGTCGTTTTTGCTATCTGTGAACCATTTTTAAGGCATTGCACCCTTCCAGAAGTTCACTAGCTTAGCATTTGACTTTCTGTGCATTTTTCTTGAGGAACTCCCGTTCCACACAAATCTTGCTTTATTTACTTCATGTGATGGGGGTAGACCCTGTTCTTTGCTTTGTCCTTCTTTCAGCTCCTCTCTATGGCCTCGCCACTTTACAGATCACTTTAGCTCCATCTCTGAGATCCTTCAGTGCTTTTCTTGCATCGAAAGTCTCGTTCTGCTAAGGAGGTCAGCAAAGACACACTGGCCTCAAGAGCTGTTCTGAATTACTTTCCTAAATCTGCAGGGAACTCAGTCCTGCCTCGCATCGAGTAGCACTTCTCTCATTCTCACTTCTTTCCTGATCACTCTCCCCTGTGTTTTCCTCTTAACTGTCTGACTCTTCTCATGGGTTCCAAACTTGTGGGTCCCAGAAAAGGCTTTTTAGGTTTGATCTGACTTCCATGTTTTTTTCCTTATAGCTTGACAACTGTAAGAGCCAACATCTCCCTCCCATTCTCTGTCTTTTCTACTTTCTTTTCCAAATCAGAGGCTAATGCAGACCTAGCGAACTCGTGTCCTATCCATGGTGTAATTCCTCCTGCACAGCAGGTTCAGTCCGAGCAGACTCGGACACACTTTTTATTACACAAAGCAACAGTCAGGCAACCTCCCGGCAGCTTGCTGGTAGTCTCTCCCCAGCTGCTCTGGAGACTGCCAGTATTCCAGAGTCTGTGTGCTTATATGGCAGGCCCCACTCATCAAGCAAGACTGCCAGCCGGGGATTCCCCACAACCATTCCTGCAGGGCTCCGTCTTACTCATGGTTCTCACTGCCGATCTCACGACACATGCAACTTCCACCACAGGAAGAAGGCACACTGCCATGTGTCCCATGAGGAAGAACAGCTGTATCAGAGTCAGTTGCAGGCTTTGCTGCCCATTGCCAAGACCTTGAGATCACTCCTCCTGTACCTACTGTTTCTGCCATGCTCATCCTGTTGCTGAGTGTGTTGTGTGAGACTTTCCTACAGAGATATGACACAGAGGTCTGCTCACCCCAAGAACCCAAGGACAAACAAAAGTAATCATTTCACCAGTGTCCGTCTTGGTGAACCAGTGAGTCTATTGGGTATAATTAGAAGCGTATGGCTGAGGGGTTACTTGGAGGAGCGAGGATGACTACACGTCAGCAGCATCATGGGAAAGCCCATCTCAATATAGGTAAAAGCTGTATCCTGAGCACTCTGTGTGGCTCCCAGGCTGCTCCCAAGGACCAAGGGTCTCCTCTCTGGCAGTTGTTTGCCACTTCTAAAAATTTGGGGAGTGGCTTGTTTTCCCAAAGGGGTGAAATAGACTTTACAAGTCTCCTGACTTTAAGCTTCCACACAGGGAGCAATGTTGCAAATTGGAGAGAGTTGCCTATACATGGTTTTATACAAAATTTATTTTGTATTTTGGGTTTTTTTGAGACAAGGTTTTTCTGTGTAGCCCTGACTGCCCTGAATCTTGTTCAGTAGATCAGATTGGCCAAAAACTCACAGAAATCCACCCACCTCTGCCTCTAAGTGCTGAGATTAAAGGTGTGCGCCCCTGCCCAGTCTCCTTTCTCTGTCGAACCATTGTGGTAGCACCTGTGAAATAGTTTCCACTAGAGAGGCTCACTGGACTCAGTAAGCACTGTTTTCTTTCTGAAAGCAATGGGAGTTTAGAAAATCCCAGAGTAGTTATATATTTTTGTTGTTGTTGTTGAATGGTTGATATATATATATATACACACATATATATACATATATATTTGCTTTTTTGAGACAAGGTTTCGCTGTACCTTTGGAATCTGTCCTGGAACTAGCTCTTGTAGACCAGGCTGGCCTCAGACTCACAGAGATCTGCCTGCGAGTGCTGGGATTAAAGGTGTGTGCCATCACTGCCTGGCTGAATGATTGATTCTTTATATTCATGTGAATTCTATAAAAATACTAAGTTCCCTCATGCCATCAAAATTTAAATATTGTAGGCGGGCGATGGTGGTGCACACCTTTAATCCCAGCACTCTGGAGGCAGAGGCAGACGAATCTCTGTGAGTTCGAGGCCAGCCTGGTCTACAAGAGCTTGTTCCTGGACAGCCTCCAAAGCTACAGAGAAACCTTGTCTTAGCAAATCAAAAAAAAAAAAGAAAAAAAAAAAAGAAAAGAAAGAAAAGAAAACAGGGCTGGAGAGATGGCTCAGAGCTTAAGAGTACTGACTGCTCTTCCAGAGGTCCTGAGTTCAATCCCCAGCAACCACATGGTGGCTCACAACCATCTGTACTGAGATCTGGTGCCATCTTCTGGCCTGCAAGTATACATGCAAGTAGAACACTGTATATGTAATAAATAAATAAATCTTTAAAAAAATCCAAAAAAATGATCAATATTGCGAGGAGGCATTTCTAAGGACAAGCAGGTGGGAGGCTCTGAGACGGGAAGTGGAAATGCAGTGTAGCCAGAGGACCGGGCAGAGCTGCAGCTCATCCTAGGCCCTGGGCCCACTGGGAGGAGTGCTGCAGGGCTGCTCCTTCCTCATCCCTCACTGCTTGCATTACAGCTTCCATCTCATGGAAGAGTGTGGATCCCACAGTGTCGAGTGAACCTTTTGTCAATCAAGTGTGTGCAATGTTTAGGCCTCAGTGAGTGTTGAGGACGTGGTGGTGCACTTCACCCGGGAAGAGTGGGCTTTGCTGGATCCTTCCCAGAAGAGTCTGTACAGAGATGTGATGCTGGAGACCTGCAGGAACCTCGCTGCTGTAGGTGAGGATAACATCTTACCTTCACTCTGTAAACTAGGGAGCAAGTGTCTCTTGGTGTCGATGCTCTTCTGGGATTTGGACTATTGAAAGGGAAGAATGTGGTGAATAAATCAGGCATTGTTACTATGGACACTGAAGTTAAAAACTAATTTTTTCAGTGATTTCTAATAATTTATCCTCAATTTTCTGGGACTTCCTTTTAGGAAACAGATGGGAAGAAGAAACTGTTGAAGACTCTTATAAAATTCCTGGAAGAAATCTAAGGTAATTTAGAAGACTCTTATAAAATTCCTGGAAGAAATCTAAGGTAATTTGAATGAAAAGTTGAAACAAAGGTACTTGAAGAAGTCTCAGCATTCCACGAAAATTTAAGAAAATAAAAACAGCTTTTGAGTTGTGTCGTTGTTAGGAAAATTATGCCCATATTATGGCACCTAGATATGTGCTGGGTGTTAGAGCACTGCCCAGTGTTTCTAGAGGGTTTTCTATTGGAAAGGCTCATAGGAACATGCAGCAGTGAATGCCACTGTTCTAGTTACAGCTCTGTGGGAGCCACAGTGTAGAACCAGCAATTCATTTAGTTTCACATGATTCAGATGTGTCAGAAAGCACACATTTTACCTGATTTTGGGAGCAGTATATGACATAAACCTAACAAGGAGTCTCTCGCTAACATACTTGTTCTTTTTCAGAAGTTCTGTGTTAGAGATCTCCCATGAGAAAACAGAAAATGGTCAGAAAGAAGAAACCGTGATGTGGATAGCAAATCTTCATGCAGACATGGCAGTTCGTCTTGGACTAACACTATGTGAATCTGGTGTCAGTGGAAAGGTTTCCATGTGTCCTTCACCCTCTAGTAGGCATGCCATATCTCCCCCTCATTATAAGCCACGTGATCACGAGGAATGTGGAGCCGAGCAATATAGCTTGACCTCTCTCAGCAGCTCTCAAAGGTGTGCAGGAGCTCACACTGGGAACGGGCCGTGTGAATGTGAGACATGTTTAAACACTTTATGTTTTCCAAATTCATTAGGAACACATGCAGAGGCTTACACTGGAAAAACACCCCATCAATACAAGGAATGTGGAAAGGCCTCTGTTTACACACACAGAAGAACCCACACTTTGGCCAAGCTTTATGAATGTAACATATGTGGTAAAGCCCTTAGTTCTTCCACTTCCCTTCAAAGACATGAAATAATTCACACCGAAAGACTCTATGAATGCACATACTGTGGTAAAGCCTTTAGATATCCCAAATATCTTCGA